AGGGCTCCACACCCAAGTGAGGAGCCTGAAAATCCCCTGGGGTGGGAAGACACTGCTTTCATTTACCTCTTCTGGAACAGGTTCTACAGTCACCTGTGCATGTCCATAACTGATAGACACCTGGGCCAAATCACGCCCACATCTGAAAGACATCTGGATCTTATCACGCCAAAGATTGGAATTTTTCCTCCATTGTGGCCCAGCCATGTCCCTGGGGCTCTGGAAACCATACCCATGACAACTGTCTTGTTCTGATCAGCGCTTTGAACCAGTTCATTCTGGTTCTTACATATACATAAGAATCACCTGGGGATTTTGTTAAAATGTAGATTCTGATTCAGCGTCTGCAGGGTGGAAATGCAAATTCTTAGCAGGGGGGTCAAACTGGAATAAACTGGTTAAAAGCCCTGATTCTGATGAGGTACCATCAAAGTTAACCAAGAGAAATTACACAGCACTGCTTAACAAAACAACAGCCACGAACAACCTAGCCTGGGGAAGGGTTGAAGAACACACACAGGTATGCACCATGTCAGGTAAATTGATTGGGGCCAACCCCAGTTTTAAAGAACACTGATTATTCCCTTTTCAAACAGATCCACTAACAGGTTCCTTTAAATGAACATTTTCATGGGCATTCGAATAAGATTATTTATAAAGAATGTATTGACTTACAATTTTTCAGGAACATCTACCTAACTTGACCATGGGCCCCTCAACTTCCTTAAAATGTTCCTCCCTTGGGCCTGTAATGACCTTTTTCTGGTTGTATCTCTACCTCTCTGTCTCTTTGTCTCTGGCCTTCTTTCTCCTCCTGTCTAAGTAAGGCATTCACCAACAGGGCTTCGTTTTGGACCTCTTATCTCTTCATTCTTTCCCATTGACTAACCATCACCCACTTTCTTTAACTGTCACCTACTTGCTGACGATAATAATAATGACAATTACAAGCAGTCACTATGTGCCAGGCACTATACTAAACTCTCTCATTTAATCCTCATAACAGTCCTATGGGGTAGGCATTGTTATTATCCCTATTTTTACACATGGAAAAACTAAGGCTAAAGGGGTTGAAGTAACCTGCCTGGGGTCACCCAGAGAGTAAAGGGCAGAACCAGGATTCAAACCAGGGCAACAGAGCCTCCGCATGTCACTGATGATACTTTCATATGTCATGATGCTCAGTGCTCCCTCGTGCCC